GAGGGGAAGGGGGAGACAAATAGAGGGGAATGGGGGGGAGACAAATAGAGGGGAAGGGGGGGACAAATAGAGGGGTAATAGAAACACAGGGGAAGGGGAGACAAATAGAGGGAATGGGGGAAATAGAGGAATGGAAATTAGAGGGGAAGGGGGAGGCAACAGGAGGGGAATGGGGACAAATAGAGGGGTAATAGAGAGACACCAGGGAAGAGGGGGACAAAGAGACAGAGGGGTAATAGGAGGTTGGGGGACAAAGAGAGGGGTAATAGAGAGACACAGGAGAAGGAGGGACACAGCGACAGAGGGGTAAGAGAGAGACACAGGGAGGAGTTGGGGAAGAGAGACACACGGAAGGTTTGTTGGGGGGACAAAGAGACATGCAGTAGGGAAGGGGAACAAAGTGACACAAGATTTGTGGGAGGCAACGCTGGGCTGAGGAAAAAGAGACAGAGAGTGACTGGGAGAAGAGAAAGAGGCACACGGAGTCTGGAGTTAGAAAGGGACACACAGATGAGATTTGGAAGGGGAGAAAGAGACAAAGTGGCTGGGGCTAAGAACAACACAAAAGGGGCTGGGGGAAAGAGAAATACAGAGGCTGGAGAAGGGTAAAAAGAAACACACAGGGACTGGGATGAAGTAAAAGATGCACAAGGTTCGCTGTAAGAGAAAAAAAGGAGACAATTGGAGACAAGATACACTAAACGAGGTAAAGGTAATAGACATAAATTGATGTGATCCTGACAGTAATACACACATATATATATATATATATATATGCATGTATATTGATGTGTGTATTAGTAACATATAATTATGCCTATAATATTTACACATATCGTAATATACATTTATTTATGCATAATACACACATAAATGTCATTAAATATGTCATTATATATAATGAGCACGTATTGGCCCTGTCTTGTTGCTAGTTGCATACTCATGCACAATAACATATTCAAAGTGAAGAGCGCACCCATAGAACTTCAAAATAAACAAGATCACTTCATTTTTTAGTTGTGCAACTGCAGACATTCAGCATTTCAGTACCATTACTAAAATGTCCTTAATAGGCCAAAGTAGTTGTACTGAAACATTACATGCAAATGTATCGCCTACTTAAAAAATAAAATAATGTTTTTGTTTATTTTGAAGCCTCTATATGCCTGGAGTAAGAGTTTTCACTCTGTTGATTTTTCACCCTTAGTAACACACACACTCATGGGGGGGGGACAATAGAGACAGAGGGGTAAGAGAGAGCATTACAGGAGTGAGTTAGAAGAGAGACACCTGAAGGTTTGGTTGGGGACAAAGACATTACGTGCAGGGAAGGGGAACAAAGTGGACACAAGATTTTAGGGAGGCACTGGCTGAGGCAGAGACAGAGAGTGACTGGGAGAAGAGAAAAGAGGCACACGAGTCTGGAGTTGAAAAGGGACTACTAATGATGAGATTTGGAAGGAGAGAAAGAGACAAAATGGCTGGGGCTAAGAACAACAAAAAAGGGGCTGGGGGAAAGAGAAATACAGAGGCTGGAGAAGGGTAAAAAGAAACACACAGAACTGGGATGAAGTAAAAGATGCACAAGGGTCGCTGTAAGAGAAAAAAAAGGAGACAATTGGAGACAAGATACACTAAACGAGGTAAAGGTAATAGACATAAATTGATGTGATCCTGACAGTAATACACACATATATATATATATATATATATGCATGTATATTGATGTGTGTATTAGTAACATATAATTATGCCTATAATATTTACACATATCGTAATATACATTTATTTATGCATAATACACACATAAATGTCATTAAATATGTCATTATATATAATGAGCACGTATTGGCCCTGTCTTGTTGCTAGTTGCATACTCATGCACAATAACATATTCAAAGTGAAGAGCGCACCCATAGAACTTCAAAATAAAACAAGATCACTTCATTTTTTAGTTGTGCAACTGCAGACATTCAGCATTTCAGTACCATTACTAAAATGTCCTTAATAGGCCAAAGTAGTTGTACTGAAACATTACATGCAAATGTACGTCTACTTAAAATAAAGGCGCTCTTTTGTTTATTCTGAAGCCCTATATGCGTTCCTTCGTTGGAGTAAGAGTTTTCAATTTCAAGTTATTTTTTCACCCTCTATATCAGCACACTATGCTGGCGCGAAGCATTATTGGGCTGGTATAGAATTTTTTTCCAGGGCTGATTTTAGGTCCCAGTCCGGCCCTGATGACATGACTCTTGTTTTTGTGTCTGTGTAAATGCTGCTGGCACAGAGAAACTTCACAGTTAATGCAGGTTTTTACTACTATACTGGGATCAGCCAGACAATAGGTACAGGGAATATTGCAGTCTTCAGATTTCTTTTTCTGCAAAGTGTTGAAACCTGTTACAATGCTACACAGCTGGTAGTTTTTCTGTAATTCTGGAAAATCTTCAAACTTGGCCTTGCAGAAAGGACAGCTGTATTTATTACCCTGTTCTCCTTGATAGGTGAGTACTTTGCGGACACACTGTCTGCAGAAGCTGTGGCCACAGCTCAGGGATACTGGATCCACAAAAGTGTTAAGACATATAGGGCACTCCAGCTCTTCAGCCAGTATTTCGTTAACATCTCCATAATCATTCATGGTTACACCTTCAGCAGTAAAGAGAAAGAAATTAAACTTAGTATGTATCAAAGAAGGAGGAATGCAGATTCTCCACCCACACTGTGCATATATCAGCTTGTCACACAATTAATCTATGATTACACTTTTACAAGTTAAAAGGAAGAAACAAAACTTAGACCCATGTCAGGAAATACGAATATTGGAAACACCCATTATTTTATTTTAACCCCTTCATCACAAGCAAATAGTTTTACTTGTGAATTAATGTTCTATATTAAATGAGATGTATTTTCTCATAAATCATAAAAGGAGATTCAATGGTCAGACCCCAGATTTCTAATATTTATATTTTTCTAGAATTTAAACAGGAGCCGCAGAACTTGGGTGGGGTAGAAAAGAGAAGCACAGTGTAACATGCTACTCTTATTCACAATATATTTAGGGTCACATTTTTAGCACGTTATTAAATAAATACTATAGACAGTCTTGACACTGTAGTGTAAACATTTTCTACAAAATCCCCCAAGTGGCTGTCTATGTATGTGTTCAAAAAATGTGACATTTGAATTTTGTCATTATTTTGATCATAGTTATTTAAGTGATCTACAAAGTGACGGTTTTCTTCAAAAATAACATAAAGGGTGTGAAAAGCTACAGATGGGAAAAAACGCAACAGATTTAATAAATTGCTCCAACAATTTGCCTACTAGTAGATAAGAAAAGAGTTTGAGCGATACTTTGATCAATTCCCCCCTTTGTCTCGAGTAAATCAATTGTCCCCTTTGTCTCGAGTAAAGCTAACTCAGATCATAGAAGTGAAGCCCTCAAGCTTGCTGCATGGAACAGTACTGTTCAGGACCTGGTACTGCACAAATCCAGGTGTCGTATAGCAGTTGCAGTTGTTTAGGTCCTGGTGCTGTACAGTTACTGGTGTTGTACAGAGATCTGTATTGTGTATGATCTCCCTGGTGTTGTACAGACAGATCTTAGAGGCTATATAAAGGTTGGTGTTGTCTAGGTCCTGTTGTTTTACAGCTCTTGATCTTCTACAGCGTTGGTGTTGTATAGAGGTCGGTGCTGTTTGAGTTCTGGTGCTGTACAAAACTTGGCATTGTATAGAGGTCAGTGCTGTGTAGGTCCTGGAGAGGAGTTATAGAATGCTACAGAATAGAATGTTTGGTTATAGAATGCTACAGAATAGAATGCTTGGTTATAGAATACTATAGAATAGAATGTTTGGTTATAGAATGCTACAGAATAGAATGCTTGGTTATAGAATACTATAGAATAGAATGTTTGGTTATAGAATGCTATAGAATAGAATGTTTGGTTATAGAATGCTACAGAATAGAATGTTTGGTTATAGAATGCTACAGAATAGAATGCTTGGTTATCGACTGATACAGAATAGAATGTTTGGTTATAGAATGCTACAGAATAGAATGCTTGGTTATAGAATGCTATAGAATAGAATGTTTGGTTATAGAATGCTACAAAATAGAATGTTTGGTTATAGAATGCTACAGAATAGAATGCTTGGTTATCGACTGATACAGAATAGAATGTTTGGTTATAGAATGCTACAGAATAGAATGCTTGGTTATCGACTGATACAGAATAGAATGTTTGGTTATAGAATGCTACAGAATAGAATGCTTGGTTATAGAATACTATAGAATAGAATGTTTGGTTATAGAATGCTATAGAATAGAATGTTTGGTTATAGAATGCTACAGAATAGAATGCTTGGTTATCGACTGATACAGAATAGAATGTTTGGTTATAGAATGCTACAGAATAGAATGTTTGGTTATAGAATGCTACAGAATAGAATGCTTGGTTATAGAATACTATAGAATAGAATGTTTGGTTATAGAATGCTATAGAATAGAATGTTTGTTTATAGAATGCTACAGAATAGAATGCTTGGTTATCGACTGATACAGAATAGAATGTTTGGTTATAGAATGCTACAGAATAGAATGCTTGGTTATCGACTGATACAGAATAGAATGTTTGGTTATAGAATGCTACAGAATAGAATGCTTGGTTATCGACTGATAGAAGAATACCTGGTTGTTACTGGAGTTCCCCTTAGTGAGCCGATGTTGCTCCTTTCTGCTATGCACAGGGATCGTGGCCAGCAAAGTAAAGCAGAGCTGCACCCAGTCTTCTCTTACTGTATGTACGCGAGATATCCTCCTCCTGCCTTGGCCCCTCCTTCTCCCCCAATTACCCGAGCCGAGCTGCGTGCAGTGACCGCTTCCGTTAACCATAATCCTACAAAATACAGTCCGGAGGCTCCGTCCAAGGTAATAAGACGCTGCGCATGTCCGAGGTTGGCGCTATATTAGGCTCTTAGTTATAGCACGCGCTATAGCAGACTGTTAGTAATACCAGACGCTATACTACTAGTTATACCAGGCGCTATACTACTAGTTATACCAGACGCTATACTACTAGTTATACCAGGTGCTATACTACTAGTTATACCAGGCGCTATACTACTAGTTATACCAGGTGCTATGCTACTAGTTATACCAGACGCTATACTACTAGTTATACCAGGTGCTATACTACTAGTTATACCAGGTGCTATGCTACTAGTTATACGAGGCGCTATACTACTAGTTATACCAGGTGTTATACTACTAGTTATACCAGGTGCTATGCTACTAGTTATACCAGACGCTATACTACTAGTTATACCAGGTGCTATACTACTAGTTATACCAGACGCTATACTACTAGTTATACGAGGCGCTATACTACTAGTAATACCAGGCGCTATACTACTAGTTATACGAGGCGCTATACTACTAGTTATACCAGGTGTTATACTACTAGTTATACCAGGTGCTATGCTACTAGTTATACCAGACGCTATACTACTAGTTATACCAGGTGCTATACTACTAGTAATACCAGGCGCTATACTACTAGTTATACGAGGCGCTATACTACTAGTTATACCAGGCGCTATACTACTAGTTATACCAGGTGCTATGCTACTAGTTATACCAGG